TGGGATGGTCCAACTCTTTACCTTTTTTAAACCCGAATGTGCAAATCTGTCCCTCTTAGGGTCGGAAATAATAATCAAATTATTTCAATTTGAAATCCTTTACTTTTTGGATTGATCGTAACCCTTCATTTCGAAGTAAACTGACGGTGAGGTATGCAGGTACAAACTTACTTAAATCCTTTATGAATGTGCAAAAGTTGTAAATTATTTGTCACATCAAGGGTTTACAGGCGCGTCAATTATGTGAATATTGGTAAATCTGCATTGTTAAAAAAACACCTTTAGATAGTAGTCGACGTGACGTACATAGGTATATAATATTTTATCGAGAGTAAATACACAAGAGCTTGATTTTTAATCGCATAATTTTATTTGTACACGAATGTTTTGTTGCAACGGAAAAAACTCGAAACCAAAAGTATGATAAAATCGCGACAGTTTTAGCTGGAGCGATTTTATCTCGGATTTTATTAATATTAGGTATGCTTTTGATCGAGAGTTTTTCCAGGAGGCAACAAAATTTGAGTGAATTAAAAATAAAATTATCCTGACCAAGGTCGAGTGTATTTTAGGGAGATTAATAAAAGACAGTAAATTTTACAACCACTACATATTTTACGTATTCCTACACGCATTTTTATCGCTGTAAAAAGCTACCTAGCATTTAATCAGATAAAAAATCATCTCATTGGTTAGAATTTGAAACAATCACCTAGCTGATTGGTCGTATATTAATGGAGTGTATTAATCATATAAAATACATATGCCTTATTTGCACCATAAAAATTAATTAGCTACGGAAATTACACATAAGTATATAAGAACTGCTTCTTTGTTTTTTAGCAGAATGAACAAATATGCTGATTGATTTAACGACTTTATATAGGTTATGAGTAGGTACGTTCGTTGAAATTTTCAAATTTTGCACTGCGCTGTGTTCTAAACGATTTAGCTCGCAATACTGTGGTAGTGAAATTAATACTGTGACTTACAAAAAGAATTGTTTAGTGAGTAGAGCACAAAACAGAAAAATTTCACAAGAAACAGTACCTATTATAGAAATTTTAAAATTAAAAATTCATAATATAGTACGGTGCAATTAGTCGACAAAACGGCTTAACCTAAACATCAAAAGTAAAAGTTTCCCATTAACTGCAAATTGTTCTACACAGTCACATATTGTTTGGTAAAAAGTTACACCAGTTGGTAAATTAGTAGTTTTTGGTGTTTTTCTTAAATATTTAGAAAACTATGGGGTTTGGCGAGAAAAGTACCATATCCAAAATAATCTACATTAAATTGTGAATAAAAGTGGTCTTGTGTATAATCTTGCTCAAGTCAACGATTCCAGAGTTACGGAGGGTGTAAAAGTAGGCATTTTTCGTATTTTTTCGATTTTCTGGAAAAATGAAATCATGTTACTTGCAAGCTATTTCAAAGCATCCTATACATTCACTGTTCAAGTTGGCTGCGCTTCTCCCCATTTCAGCAGCTACCAGGTAGAACATTCATTTAGAACTTACCATCAGGTGCAGCAGTGGCTGCATGAGAAGAAGAACCCGATGAAGTGGGAATGCAAGATTGTCGAACACCTGAGAGCAATAACAACTCATCCTGCAACTCCCCAGGAATTACTGTCCCTCATAGTGGAAGTCTCTTGAAAAAATGGCCCCCCTTGAGAAGGTGGTAAGGTTATTTTCCTTCAAGGACTTATCAGTAACATACCACCGGTCACTAAAGCGCAATTTGTTTTAACCGGTTTTAACAAAAAAAATAGTTTCCTTAGTGATAATCTCATATTTTTTCAAAAAGAATCTAAAAAAAAAAAGATGAAAAATTTCTACTGTTACACCCTCCGTAACTCTGGAATGGTTCAATTTAGCAAGATTATATATGAGGCCATTTTTGTTCGCAATTTACTGTAGATTATTTATTTTATTTCGCGCTAAATTGTATAGTTATTTAAATATTTAAAAAAAAACTTATCACAACTACTAATTTTCCAACATTTACTTTTATTCTAAGTGGTTATGTTTCAAATTTCATTTGAATGCCTCCATAAATAAGAAAGTTGGCACTGCGCATGCGCAAAACCAAATTTTGAAACTAGCGTTATATTTGCTTTTATTCCAAGTGGTTATGTATCAAATTTCATTTAAATATACTTCATAAATAAAAAAGTTTGCAAATCGGTTTATAAATGGTCGAAATGCGAAAAGAGCATTGTGAATGTTGATCGATTAGGCTCAATTTTTGGAATTGCGTTTTATATGGCTAAAGCTATACGCATATTGAATTTCATGCTATTCGGTTCATAACTCACGGAGATGTCAAAAGGGCCTTCCTTATTTTTTGGGTTACATTGCCAGTTCACGAACTCCGATCTACAAATTTGATAAAGAATCTCGTAAAGAATCCACCTTCAAAATTTTATCGTAATCGCTCCATTCGTTATCGAGATATCGTGCTAACGGATGGACAGACGGACAGACACCGCAAAATTATAAACTCGCTAGGAGCTCGTTAATAAATGATAATTTTCTTCCATGGGGATCGTGGTCCCCATTACACTGACTGGCCGCGTTACCTGCACGTTGTATGGCAATACTTAAATTTGTCGTAAGTGGTAGCTCGGGGCGCTCGGGGTTCCCCAGTAATATTGGTAATGCGTTTTCCCAGGTATTCCACAAAATTTTCGAGCTTCTCTACACCAAGGTCCAATGTCTCTACTGCGAAAGGTATAAAAATATGGTTCTGTTCTATAATAATCGAACTGTATTTCCTTATTTTAATACTTGCCGCAGATTCAGTTACCACACCACCGTTTTACTAGAAAATTTATCCAACATATTTCAGTGGTGCCAGGTCATAAAGCTAGGAAAAACTGTCCCAGACTACTTGGGTGTGGCGCCTACTCTTAAGATTTTGACTCTATCTGGGAGATGTCAGCAAAACACAAAATAGCAAAATTGTACACGAAAAAACAAACCGGTGGTATTATAAAAAAAGGACCCCCACAATGTTGGGGATTGGGCGCCAGCTCTGCGCCACGTTTAAAGAACACAGCGCAGCGCTTGCTTTTAGTAGTCATCGAACACAATGGTGGTGTTAGAGGCTAATAAACCACCCCCAAAAGTTAAAGGCTTTTTGCAAAATTTATAATTGCGCTAGGTTAACTTGAGCGCTAGGTCTACAGAACAGAAAACATCAAATTTTTACCCGAAAAAACAAAATGGTGGTGCTAGGAAAAATTGCCCCCTGCACTATTGGGGGGTGGCGCTAGCTCTAAAATTTGTGGCGCTAGCTGGCGCTAGGTCTGATGAACACAGCGCTTGCTTTTGGAAGTGATCGGACGCAATGGTGGTGCTAGCGTTAACATAGCACCCCCCGAAAGTCAAGGGCTTTTTTGCAAAATCTATAATGGCGCTAGCTGAACTCAAAGTGGCGCTAGCTGGCGCTAGGTCAGCAGAACACAAAACGTCAAAATTTTACACGAAAAGACAAAATGGTGGTGCTAGGAAAAATTACTCTCCTCACTATTGGGGGGTGGCGCTAGGTCTAAAATGTGTGGCGCTAGCTGGCGCTAGATCTGACGAACACAGCGCTTGCTTTTGGAAATGATCGGACGTAATGGTGGTGCTAGCGTTAACATAGCACCCCCCGAAAATCAAGGGCTTTTCTGCAAAATCTATAATGGGGCTAGCTGAACTCAAAGTGGCGCTAGCTGGCGCTAGCCATAGAGATTCTAGCGCAATCTGTCTTTAGTCAAAAATTTGAAATGGTGGTGCTAAGTTAACGGAGCCGAAGCCTTTGCACTTTGCCTGCATGTATGGGCATTTCGCGAAATCCCTGAAGAGAGGCAGGCAAAGTGCGAACTCGAGCTCCATTTCTCACTTTGCCTGCTGCATTGGTCATTTCGCGAAATGCCTAGGGATTTTGCAAAATGCCGGATTCACATTTTGCCGGTAACACATGCACTGCAAGGGAAAAAATTGTTAATCTCGTTTGAAATCAACGAAAAATATTAAGGCGAGCCTCTCTCATACTGGAAGAATCCATCCTATCCCCTCGTCCAGATCCGGAAACCCCTCCACCTGATCCATAAAAAACAAATTTTTAATCGGTGACTCGAATTGATTGAACATGTAATAGGATAATGACTTTTCAACTTATTTCTGTATCATAGTCATCTTGAACGTAAAGCTTTTCTTTGTAAACGTTAATGTAGATTTTGAGTCAAGTACGAAATTGTCAGAAACGTTAATTAAATTTTTCTTGCGGTCACGATCACTGATTGCTTGAAAGAAAGGTGTTTGTGTATGTCTTCCGCTTAATGGATATTAAGTACCTATAGTCACCATTGCATAGTACGTGTTACTTAAATATACAATATATACTATTGTATGCCCATACTAAATCAATGTGATAAATATGCATAACATGCAAATATTGTAACTGAGTTGTTGGATAATATGCAAATTAAAAAATATGTAGCGGCGATGTCTAAAGTAACATGGGTCTCCAGCGCAACACGTCAAATTATCAACACAAACTCGTGCATAATTTTTCTACAAATGCTTTGCATAATGACAGCTTAGGTCAGTAGAAAATCACGGAACTAATTCCAATTGCAGTTCCATAAACAAGCGCTAGAGAAATAATCCTGCAAGAACGTTCACTTTTTAGTTGTATTGCTGCCAATAATAATAATATCTCTTGGTGCGTTCAATTCGGACATTTTTCCTTTAAAAGTCTCCATTCGATTAACTTTTATATCCGGGGAGATGAATGTTTCCTCGAAAAAATTGCTCTAATAAATCTCCCCATCAACTAATTTATTGGGATTGTGCAGAAATATGAAATCTGCTCCAAGTTATTCAGGTCGGCGTTCACAATATATACGATTCCAATCAGTACAAACGAAGGTTATGCTACTGGAGTATAAAATGAATCTCTTCCAAATTAATATGTCGGGGATACAGTCGCGCTAATTCTTTCTTTCTTTCAGCAAATGGAGCGTACTTTTCAATGTCCAACGTTGTCATGAATCTGCCAGGCGACAAATCGCATTATCCGCCCACAGATCACTCCATATTGACGTTGTACGCTCTAAGAGACGGCGAACATTACCACAGCAGAACAGAGCACTTCGTGTACTCTCTGAACACGAATGGGGAACCAGTGGCGCAAGTTTTTCGGCCGACGGGAGATATCATGTTCAAGAAGGTTTTCTTTGAGAAAGGTAAGAAGCTTACGTTTTTCTAAGTAGACTCATGAACTGGTATTTACGGGACTATTAACTATACAATATTTTGAGTGAAATAACAAGGTTTCTGTTTGATTTACAATGTACCTAACAACTGAAGATTCAGAAGGATAACGAGGATAATTGGGGTGTAAATTTTTTTACAATGAATTGATTTGGCTAGGTTTGCAGCAAAAGTAAAATTTAATAATACTAACAAGACTCTTAACTATAAGAATAAAGGCATCCTTAGTTGAGACTAATTTTAGTGGTAACGAAGTCCCGTTGCAAGTGGAACTAGGAATTTATAATACTTACTTGTTTTGTTGTGAAGTTAGAGATTTTGAGATTCTAAGTGTAGAACAATTAGGCATTATATATCATAAAAGGTTTACAGCTTGTCGATATTTCACAATAAAGAATTTGATTAGTGGAATGTATCCGTAAACCGTGGTGACTCTTATTGGATTTGAAAGGCGGGAATTAAGCCAACGAATCAGCGATTAAAGATGTCCGTCTGAGTTAACAAGTCGCCATTTTGTAGGCGTTAATAAGTTAAAAGAATATAAGAAAGGAAACAATTTTTGGAGGCATTCGTTAGCGGTCCACGGAAGTATCAACCCTCTCGGTCACAATTAAATTTTTTTTAATTCACTTCTGCACCCTCAGACCGTCAGGTTTAGAGATTGTGTTACGGTTCAATCCGCAAGAAAGATCGCGAAAATCTGTCGGGTAATTTAATTACTTACGAAAAATTGCAGAAAAGTATTTCGTAGTTTCTTCGTTATATCATTTGGTGCAGAGTCCGTCAGGGGCGAAGATCCGTAGGTATATGTTTCGGACATAATAAACAAATGTACCCTCGAAAGTTAGAGCGAGCATATGCTATTTGCATGCGAGTAACGCAAATTGTACAGGTGGTAAAGAGCTCAAAGTGAAGTAAGTGAATGCATCATTACACCACAAAGGTATTTATTGTTTAATTAGAACACAAATTCTCATTGTGTAATAAGCCTATTTATCGTCGTGTAAATAAAAAAAAAGCCATGCCGGGTTAAGGACAGAGTGACAGAATGCATCGAAGTATTTTTTGTCTTTCGACAAACGAACTATTGTAGAACAAGTCTGCATTATGTTTCGTCGTCGGTGGTGAACGATAGGGGATTGAATTTTTCGAGCAAGAAGAAAAAATTAAAGAAGGCAAAGTTTGAAATTAATTTTCCGGAATTAGAAAGGGAGAATTAGTGAACTTTCGTATCAAAGCCGGGAATCGGAATAAAAGAGAGATTCATATCCGCAATAAGAAGTGTTATCAGTTAAATCATGAAAAGGGTGCCTATTTCAATTTGTGGTACGATCTTGAAGTCATGATGATTTGTAATACGTTTCTTTCACTGTTCACAGAAGATTAATAGTATTACTTCTAGGACCATTTCCAAGAAGTAGATCTTTACAAGATTGCAAAGACTGCTCTTTAAATATTATGCTAAATGTAAACAAGGTTACAGAACCTATGAAAAAATTCGTAAACGCTAAACAGAACTAAACTCAAGCGATCCATTTGAAATGCTCTAACAATATTTACAATGGAAATTATAGGTAACTTAAATAAACGAGATATTACTGGAAAGTTCGTTTCGTCCGAGGTTTCGTCTTTGAGAAACCATCATCAGCTTCATATTTTTATATAAACCGAAAAAACAAGTACATACTGTATAGTACTCTATGCATTCTTTATTACGAATACAATGATGTATGACACAATATTAGTTATTAGGTATGCCATTTACAAGAATCATTAGTGAATTATTTTGACATTTTGTCCACGCCTACTACACCAAAATGTTAACAATTTAATATTAAGCGTTTTTTTATTTAAATTGTTTAAATTAATTAACAATTTTTAACATTTTGGTATAGTAGGGTAGGCGTCGACAAAATGTCAAAATAATTTATTGACGGTCCTTTAAATGACAAAACAAAGAATCATATGTGTCATACATCGTTGTATTGACACATATTGGACAGACGGACTCGAGCGCCACCAGTAGGTTGCGGAAACAATCTTGCCTCTGGTAAAGGTACGGTGCGGTGGGTACGACATCGGTTGCCTCAGGTAAAACAGTTGAAGGAACGGTACTCCAGGATTCGGCAGTCCAGCAATTAACTGTGGCCACTGGCGAATAAAATCTAAAAGCAAAATTAAGGCCACACAGACAAATGGTGGAGGTCACGGATTAATGAATCTGAAAGCAAAACTAAAGCACACACAAAATTCACGATTGGATCAGAGGTCTCTACGGGAGGTTAAATGGGGAATAACGAACCAATCATTTCCCCCCTTTTTTAAATTAACACACTACTAAATGCAAGGTTGATTCCCAAACGAAATGGTAGGTGTTTAGTATCACTGGTTTTGTAATTTTTTTACCCCCATTTTGAACAATCATTTCTACACCCATTGAATTTATCCCATCGAATCTTGCAACTTTTATTTGAAACTTTTTTCGATTTCACTTTTTTCCAATTATCTACGAGCGATTTATTTTTTCAAAATATAGCATCGGAATATCCGTTAGGATAAAAAAATATACAACTTTGTCAATTTAACCGAATCTGTAAGTATAATAATAAAAAAGGTAGCCATGTTATCCTACTCAATTTAAGACACCCTACATATTGTATAGTTATAGTTCTCTTAATAGGTTAGTGACTTCGCTACCCTCCTTAAGTGTGTGGAAACTCGACTTGTACGTCCATACAACCCGCAGTCCCGGTAACATCTGTGTCACGGGTAGCGACCAGCAAGTTCTCTTGGTACAAGTAAAACACTCCACGGTTAATCTACAGGTGGTTGACTTAACTTCGCTCGCAGCTCAACTTAAATTTCACACAAAAATAAAATCACCCTACAGTAATTTCCATAGTTTTGACCATTCTACCCAAATAACCAAATTCCGACTACTTTACTTTTTAGGATTGACACCCATCGCGTGACTCAAACCTTTTCACACAATAAACTAATTTTACACAACCAATCAGATCGCTTGACGTCCATAAATCAGGTCAATGTAGCGTATCTTCCCGCTTAATCGGCGATTCTAATACGAAGCAGCAGCCTAATCAGACCGTATCCCACGACTAACCGGCACCTTACATTTTCAAACGCATTTAAAAAGCCAGGACCGTATTCTAGGAGCACTGGCCCACGTAACACAACCAAAAATTAAGGAAATCAAAATCTTCTCACTCTATAAACACACTTCGCGCTCCAAAAATCCTCAGCGCTAGACTTGCGGTTGCTGTTTAGGTAGGGTTATTTTTTGCACATGCACGGGTAATGGATACAAGAACCACCACCAGAAATCATTATAATTCCCCAAAAAATGTAATTCAACGGGTTCCCGTTACAATACTAGACTATAAAAAAGCTAAAAGTCGTTAAAATGAAATTATGTCCTATAAATGATATCTATAATTGACAGCTTATGATACATCCGCGCATAAAATCCATTTATATTCTAAAGTGTTTCGGCTAGCACAAATACGCCTCTCTGTTTAACAATTATTTAAAAATTTCCCTATTTTAGAAAATAACTGTATTTATAGTAATATAACACAGTCTCACATGTAGGACATCTCTTTCTCTCCAGCGACCGCAATATAAAATTTGATCACTCTCATTAAGCTGCATACTGACGTTTTAGTGTAGAAACGCGAGTCTTTAAAGTCCAAGATAATTATAACCGCATACACTCTACGCCTTTAATGCGCAACATGTCTCTCCGCAGCGCCAATACAGAGAAGAACAAATGAAACAGAAGCATTAAGAGATGTGAATCACGTAATAGCAAGAAACACACAATAGTAATTGACAATTTAATGGAATCGGACGAAGCTTTTTCTCGAGAAGAAATTTACAGCAATTGCAATGGGGCGGAAACAGGTAAAACCTCGACATTATCTACTTCAGAAATTATTACTCTTATCTCCTCGGGGGGTTTAAGCCTTTACTCCCGAACGAAAGATATTCACCATTTGATATATCCAAGCTGTTTAATCACATCCCAGTTTCCCAAACGTAACATAAATTTTCATTTTCACGCTCGCCGACTTAGCTAAAACGTCAAAAGTTTCTTAGGCACTTTGACGAAATTTAATCAGTGCGTTTGTGTAGTAAAAAGATGCAAATATTTTAAATCGCCGGACCTTCCTGCATTTACTTCCTTGGGGGTGAATCAAGTATGCGAAAATAACTGTCAATCCTTCTAAGTGCCGCTTTCACTTTAACTACATTTATCTCCATAAAACTCCAGCATTAGTCATTTCTCCAAAAGATTTCTTATTACATTGTAGTTGCAATGCGATAAATTGTTAGATGGGGCGAGATTGATGAGAAGATTCGAATCAACAAGCCGTATTGGGATTGCATTCGTATGTGGAAGAATAATACAATTTTCTAAAGAGAGATTTCATTAAAAGTTTTCAATCGTTTAACAGTTCGTGAAAAACAAGAATTCGTTTTATGCTTCTGCTCACTTTGTTCTGCCGTAGTTTGGAAAGGAAATGGCAGTTAAGCTTTTACGGGAGAAAGCGTTCATTCAAAACGATAAATAAAAGTATCATTGGGTGAAAATTTCCAGCTTAGTCTCTCTCTAGTTATAGATTTTTATCAAACCAAGAATCCTATTAACACCATTAGCATGTAATAAAGTTATGTATACTGAAATGTACTTGCTTTTAATGCCATCAATCAAGAGATAAACCCTAAATATGCAAGTCGTTAAGGAAAGCGACGTCTTAAATGAGGATGGTATTTGTAGTAAACTTTTAACTCACCATGACTATTGAAATTGGGTACCTATAATTGTCCATTGTGGTTTTCACCAGTTCGCCAAGTGTAACGGGAGCCCTCTATCACACTTTACTTAATTCGAATTTTGTTATTTTTCGAATTAGGTGATACAAGTTTCTTCAACATCTTGTGGTTGTATTTT